GTTGACAAACATCTATTCAGTCTTCCTCCTTCCATTTCTCCTATACATCTTAATCTCTCCATTTGGTTATGACAGTATTCCATTTGAGTCTATGAATGGCAATTTCGGTAATACTAGAAATAGTTTGATATTTTGTTTTTGTTTTTGTAGTGCCAGAATATTGGTAATACTGCAACATTTCAGGACAAGACCTGTTAATGAATTCATGGCCCAGCTAACCTTCCATACAGGCATAACTGATATTTATTTTATCACCTGAGTTTGTGTTGATGTCAGTGAATAAATAAGGGTGTTGTGAGGAAGCAGGGTTCTGCCTTGATGTTCAGCCAAGTTGTCAATGAATTCACCCTCACCTGATGAAAGAGGTGTCTACTCTGAGAGAGTGAGAGAGCGAGAGGGAGAAATTATAGATATTTAAAAAGAGAATCTTCAGAGTGTTAATATATATATAAATAAATAATATAGTAGTATTTAACACTAAACAAAATGACCACAATGATATTACCAGTTGAAGTTCCAAGTTCATGGTTTCCCTTTCTTTTTTGTGTCATTATGTTCAGTTTCTTTTTTTTAAGTGTGTTTCATTTGTGATGAGTGTTCCGTTTACCCTCTTGCAGTGATCCAGAGATAGTAGAATTAGAGCCTTGCCCCTTGCAATTAAAACCTTATTAATGGAGGAGTATGTCTGCGTGTAATCTAACTGCAGAACACATTATGGAAATGATTAAATGATGCAGGCTGTAAATAGTATAGGAGGCTATAATGATAACACTTTCTGATAGTGTGGCCCCTAAAACTGTGCCACTGATATTTCTAAGTGAAACAATATTACAACAGGGTTAAATGCTGTATTGTATGTTTAACAAAAACAATAGGATACATAAACAGTAACACTGCTGTTTCTCAGTAAAATGCAATATCAGAATCTCTGGATTTGCAAGAACTATCTATTTACATGTAATCCATTAGAGTTTTGGCAAAACATAATACAATTTTTATTAGAATATTAAATTGTTTACTTCTGAAACTCTTGCAATAACAATATTTTCCAAGCATCACAGCCTGGTCTCATAGACTAGACGTAACATAGTAAATGTAAATCCGGAACACTCAAATTAGTATGATATGTTACATTTGGTATGGTTACATAAGAGAGAAGGTTATTTGGGTGGGTGGACGTACTGTATATTCGTGGGTGGACGTATAACGCGAACTTCTAGCAACACAAAGGTTGTGTGTTCGAAAACTTACTACTTTTTAGCTACTTTGCAACGACTTAGCATGTTAGCTAACCCTTCCCCTAACCCTAACCTTAACCCTTTAACCTAACTCCTAACCCTAACTTTAAGCCTACCTTAACCCTAACCTTAACCCTAACCTTAACCTTAACCCTAACCCCTAGCCTAGCTAATGTTAGCCACCTAGCTAATATTAGCCACAACAAATTGGAATTTGTAACATATTGTACAAATTGCAATTCGTAACATATTGCACACATTTTCTTAACACATCATACAAATTGTAATTCGTAACATATCATACTAAATGGATGATGGACATCCACAAATCAATACATACCATACGAAAACGTAACATATCATGAGGTGTCCCGGATTGACATTTACTATGTTCGTCCTACCCCTGAGTCCAAGTTGAGCATCACTGTGACTAACATCTGTAACTTCAGAACAACAAACAAAGGCTCCTGAAGAAGACCTTTACCACCACTCACAGAGAGAGTGAGAGAGAGAAAGAGAGAGATTGAGAGAGGGAGGGAGAGAGAGAGTGCTTTTCACAATATTCCCTCTCGTGAATATGTCAATCACAACTCTGTGGTCCATTAATACCAGAAAACTTTCCCTTCATTCATCCACATTTTATTTTGCCGCTTTGACATTGGCGTTGTATGTTTGTGATGAGGCATTTGTCCTCAGACTGGGCGGGCGTGAAGCAGGCAGGCAGGAGGGCGGGAGGCAGGACAGATAGCTAGCTGCCAGAGCAGAGCAGAGCCCAGGTTTGGTTGGTTAGTATAGGGCAGACGAGAGGAGAGTGGAGGGGGAGTGTGTCATGTCTTCCAGAGAAGCAAAGTAAATGGGTCTTCTCTCATTAATCTCCGAGGCCTGATGGAGCAGAGTGGCTAGCCAAGCTGTTGAATGTCTAAATAGGGCAGTGCATGGTGATTTATTAGGGAGAGCCATGCATTAGAGCCCATAGCCCATCCGCAGCCATTACTACCGGACAGTTAAGGACACCTCTGCCAGGCACCACCCCAGAACAGACACTCAGACCTGGGGTGCAAAACAACAAAACACAGGGTGGAGGACGGACACACTGGGAGTGAGACAGATCGATGGACATGCTTTTAAGGAATATGGAGTTCTTTGATCTTAGTATTGTTTGACTGATTTTTATTCAAGTTTAGTTGGTCAACATTTTGTGTTGTTTCTCTACAATGGGTAACTCATGTGGAGTAAAATGATAATTGGCTGTACATTATGCTGGGGTACACTTGGTTCTGTTCAGTTTCAAACACAATTATTTGGTGTATTTTACACCCCAAACAAAAGGTTGAAAAAGGAGTAACCTTTTCAAGTAGTGTGTATGTGCGTGTCTGCGTCCGTGTGTGTGTGCATGCGTCCGTGTGTGTGTGCATGTGCGCGTGCACATACGCATGTGTGTGTGAGTGTCAGTACGTGTCAGCGAATGTGTGTGCGAGGCGAGGGGGTCTATTTTGACCAAGGTAATCCATTCATTGTGTTGGAGTTCTTCATCTGTATCAATTCATTGAAAACACGCCGGCCCCGAGGTCTGTAACTGAGCTGACCCCTCTCCTCCTCTCCTCTCCTCTCCTCTCCTGACAGAGCTGGTAGAGAGAGAGAGCGGCCTGGGATTGGTGGTGCAGGGGGGAGACTGAGGGGGAGAAGGGGGTAGCTAGCGGTCCATGGGAAAAACACAGTCCCTCGCCTCTCTATAGCACTTGTTCCACCCCACTTCACCCCACACCCACCCCATGTGTGCCACTTGTCACTGACCCCTGCCACCCCCACTCCACCCCCCCATCCCTTTTGAGACTCTCTCTCTGCTGTGCCAAAATTGAACCCCCACAACCTCCTACCCCCCTAAACCACCAGCCCCCATGCAGTCCCCCAGGCCCCCATCCCAGAACTCCACACCCCAATACCCCAGGCCCCTACCTCCACCTCTCGTGCCCAGAGCCGGTGCAGTGTGCTGGGGCAGGGGCCGTGGCCAGACCCCCGTGTCCAGTCCTCCAGAAGAGGGAGGACTAAAGGACCATAGAATAACACAGTGGATCTCTGTCATTGTGTTCAGGCAGGGAGGCAGCTGCCGAGAGAAAGACACTGTTAGGGGAGGTAGAGACTAACACACACACACACATGCACATACACGCACACACACACACACACACACACACACACACACTCTCCCATCTATACGTGCAAACTTTAAGCAGTTCAAATAAACTAAAGGTTTAAGGGTAAGGATAATTACAGTTGTGTGCACAACACTGACAATATTTGAATTGCTCTACGGTGTCCGTCCCTTTGCCTACAGTAGCTTTCGTTAAACCATTAAGGGGAAAAATAGTTACAAAATGAATCATTACCATGGACCATTAAGTTCACTATTTTCAAATAATTGAATTTGTCAGCAGTTATTCTCTTTAACTGAAGATCATTCATAATAGCTGCATTAGATACTAATTAAAGAAACAACTAGAAGTCTGTCCCAACCCTGTCCTAACAGGCAGGATATTATGTTGTGGGTATAACTTGCTGTTGTAGCAGGCTACACTAAACTAAACATTGATATTCTGATGCACGCTGAGTGCTGGAAGACATCCAGAAAGATTTGGGAAAGGAACAGGGAAGAAGGGGGAAGAGCTGCAACCAGCAGGGGGAGGTAGGACAAAAGGAAAGGTCCATGAGAGAGAGAGAGAGAGAGAGAGAGAGAGAGAGAGAGAGAGCGACTCTCCGCTCTACGCTGCTCCTCACGCCTCTCAGATTCGCTCCTCGCATCCTCGCTTCGCTCTCGCTCTCCTCTCTCTCTCCTCTCCTCTCTCTCTCTCCTCTTCTCTCTCTCTCTCATCTCTCCCTCTCCTCTCTCTCTTCTCTCTTCTCTCTCTCCTCCTCTCTCTCTCTCTCTCCGCTCTCCTCTTCTCTCGCTCTCTCTCTCCTCTCTCTCTCTCGTCTCTCTCTCGCTCTCTCTGCTCATCTCTTCTTCTCTCTTTCTCTCTCGCTCTGCAGGCTTTATGGTGATATTGCAACCACTCCCCACCGAAAGGCTGGCTGGGCTGGTTGGATCTCCCCTTGGCTGACTGGCTGGGGAGAACAGCTATAGAAGAGCTGTATACTACCACAATATCCTGCTGTATCCTAGCCCATCCCAAATCCAGCTGTGAACACTGCAGGTGCGGGTCAGGTGTCACATTCTACACTGTACACTGATGACCTCTGTGTGTGTGCAGGATCGGAAAAGGTTCAGATAACTTTTTGTTTGTTTGTATGTTTACCCCTCTTCCTTCGTTTCCCTTCCCTTCCAAGGATTGTGAGGCCCATATGTCAGGATCTGGGAACCTATACATGAACCGTTTCCCATTTCTGAATATTATATTATTCTGTTTAAATTCATACCCTTGATATTCCTCCTCTTTCACAGCCACATCCTTCTCTAGGTGTGACAGCAGTATGTGTTGTGTTTTCAAATCTCACAGACAGACCCATAGCTCTCTCCTCCACTCTGTTCCCAGACAGACCCATAGCTCTCTCCTCCACTCTGTTCCCAGACAGACCCATAGCTCTCTCCTCCACTCTGTTCCCAGACAGACCCATAACTCTCTCCTCTACTCTGTTCCCAGACAGACCCATAGCTCTCTCCTCCACTCTGTTCCCAGACAGACCCATAGCTCTCTCCTCCACTCTGTTCCCAGACAGACCCATAGCTCTCTCCTCCACTCTGTTCCCAGACAGACCCATAGCTCTCTACTCCCCTCTGTTCCCAGACAGACCCATAACTCTCTCCTCTACTCTGTTCCCAGACAGACCCATAGCTCTCTCCTCCACTCTGTTCCCAGACAGACCCATAGCTCTCTCCTCCACTCTGTTCCCAGACAGACCCATAGCTCTCTCCTCCACTCTGTTCCCAGACAGACCCATAGCTCTCTCCTCTACTCTGTTCCCAGACAGACCCATAACTCTCTCCTCTACTCTGTTCCCAGACAGACCCATATCTCTCTCCTCCACTCTGTTAGCTCTCTCCTCCACTGTTCCCAGACAGACCCATAGCTCTCTCCTCCACTCTGTTCCCAGACAGACCCATAGCTCTCTCCTCCCCTCTGTTCCCAGACAGACCCATAACTCTCTACTCCCCTCTGTTCCCAGACAGACCCATAGCTCTCTCCTCCACTCTGTTCCCAGACAGACCCATATCTCTCTCCTCCACTCTGTTAGCTCTCTCCTCCACTGTTCCCAGACAGACCCATAGCTCTCTCCTCCGCTCTGTTCCCAGACAGACCCATAGCTCTCTCCTCCACTCCGTTCCCAGACAGACCCATAACTCTCTCCTCTACTCTGTTCCCAGACAGACCCATAGCTCTCTCCTCCACTCTGTTCCCAGACAGACCCATAGCTCTCTCCTCCCCTCTGTTCCCAGACAGACCCATAGCTCTCTCCTCCACTCTGTTCCCAGACAGACCCATAGCTCTCTCCTCCACTCTGTTCCCAGACAGACCCATAGCTCTCTCCTCCACTCTGTTCCCAGACAGACCCATAGCTCTCTCCTCCACTCTGTTCCCAGACAGACCCATAGCTCTATCCTCCACTCTGTTCCCCCTCACCTGCTTGTTTAGTTCCCCAGTCTCCTGCTACATGCTGCAACACACTGCATGATAAGTAGAGGAGTGGAGGGAACGATGGATCACAGGAAGGGGGAGAGAAATATAAATAAAATGGGGATCCTCTACAAGTCTGTGCATGTTTGAGGGGTTGAGAGGAGCCATAGCTCTCTCCTCCACTCTGTTCCCAGACAGACCCATAGCTCTCTCCTCCCCTCTGTTCCCAGACAGACCCATAGCTCTCTCCTCCACTCTGTTCCCAGACAGACCCATAGCTCTCTCCTCCACTCTGTTCCCAGACAGACCCATAGCTCTCTCCTCCACTCTGTTCCCAGACAGACCCATAGCTCTCTCCTCCACTCTGTTCCCAGACAGACCCATAGCTCTCTCCTCCACTCTGTTCCCAGACAGACCCATAACTCTCTCCTCTACTCTGTTCCCAGACAGACCCATAGCTCTCTCCTCCACTCTGTTCCCAGACAGACCCATAGCTCTATCCTCCACTCTGTTCCCCCTCACCTGCTTGTTTAGTTCCCCAGTCTCCTGCTACATGCTGCAACACACTGCATGATAAGTAGAGGAGTGGAGGGAACGATGGATCACAGGAAGGGGGAGAGAAATATAAATAAAATGGGGATCCTCTACAAGTCTGTGCATGTTTGAGGGGTTGAGAGGAGCCACTGACAAGCACACACACACACACACACACACACACACACACACACACACACACACACACGTGCACACATATGCACTCACACACACACGCATGCACACACAATTGCAGGCACGTACACACACACACACACTCACACACACACACACACACACACACACACACACACACACACACACACACACACACACACACACACACACACACACAACAACCCTCCACCCCCATTTTTGCAAATTACAACTGCTTTCCTCAGCTGCCTGTGGCCAGTCTGGCTCTCTCTCTAGTTCTGGGGGAGGTGTGTGTGCGTACATGTGTGTAAGTGTTTGTGTGTGTTTGTGTGCCTGTGTGCATGTGTGCGCATGCATGCATTTGCGTGTGTGTGTGTGTGTGTGTGTGTGTGTGTGTGTGTGTGTGTGTGTGTGTGTGTGTGTGGAGGTGAGTCATGCTTGGGAGGGTGCATGTTCCACAGGCTTCTTATAGAAAGCGTAGAGGGGGGATTAGCGAAAGTGTCCGAGGACCCTCCAGTTTGGCCCAGTGCCCTCAGCCTAGTGGGGAGGGGGTGGAGGAGGAGGAGAAGAGGGGTAGAGAGAGAGAGAGAAGGGAAGGGAGGAAGGGGGGTTACTGGTTGATTGTCAGTGTCCTGTTAGCTCGGCAGCTGTCCCCTTCTTTCCTCCTCTTCTCTTTTAGCTCTTCAATGAGGCACTGAGTGGCAGCAGATCCATTTCACCGTGGAAACGGGGCAACACAAAGCTCTGAAAGCTGCTCTTATGCCACGTCTCCGTATCCCTTTACCTGTTACCCACATTAATTATGCCCCTGTACAGGAGCTGGCCCGGCCGGGGGAAAGCAGACACCGTGGATGGACCTGCAGATACGGCTGGCCTGGCCTGCACTCCTCTTAACCAGAGAGCCTCTCTCTCTCTCCCCCTTCTCTCTCTGTCTCTCTCTCTCTCTCTCTCTCTCTCTCTCTCTCTCTCTCTCTCTCTCTAAAGTACTCACACTTTCTTAGTCACAGTAGAGTGCGCGGAAGGAGGCCAGCCCATGCACACACACACACACACACACACACACACATACACACACACACACACACACACACACACACACACACACACACACACACCACACACACACACACACACACACACATATATATACACACGTAAACACACATGCACACACTCACACAGACACGTCCGTAGACACACAGTGTTAATCACTTGTTTTTCTTCTGGGCGAGCAGCGCCACACGTGAGTGACCTCCAGTAGAAGCCATGGGTTCCTCTGCTGGGCTGTGAACAGTGGAGCATGTCATTCGGATGGGTATGTTGGCAGGAAATCACAGTCACCATGTTCAGGAACTCCATTAAAAACTACACTGCACGCCTTGATTACTGTGACCAGGCAGTGGAGTGTGTGTGCCCCCCACCACCTGCCAAACACACACACACACACACACAAACACAGACACACAAACACACACATAAACACACACACACACACACAAACACTGATGCACACACACACACACACACACACCTCCTCTCTATTTGTTAAACGGCCTGAAATAAATGGTTGACACAGCAGTGGCTAAGCCTCCTTTGTCTATCCTCTAATGTACATTGCTGGGTTACAGTATTCACATTTTGATGAGATACACTGCAGAAAACACAAACCCCTTGTTGTTAAATCCTTAAACAGAAAATATTAACATGAAAAACACAAGTCGTACAAAAACTTAGCAACAATAAGCAGTAGAAATCGAGCAACCAATTGTGTTTACGTGGCATTTACTTCCTGGTTTCCGTTTGCAGAGCAGTGGGTTTCCATGGCTATCCGTCAGCCAATGGCAGGGCTGCTCTTGGTGCAGTGGTGTAGAGAGTCTCTGGGGCGGCCTGTCTTTTTAAACAAGGCCAGACACTTCACAGACAGGGAGTGGGCCAATTAATTCTGCCGGGGGCAATACTCCTAGGTTAGCATTTGCTTATAGTAATAAATTGGCGCTTTGTATCGGCGGTAAACTACCCAGGTTCCCCTGTTTTCTATGGGGCTGGCAGGTATATAAATGATGTCACAGTGGTTCATGGTGATTAGTCGGGTGTGCTGCGTCCTTTTTCACAGGGTCACCACGCTACTGTCTGTGAAATTAATTAAAACCTGGCCTGGGTCACTGTCCTCGGTGAATGCCAACCAATCGCTAACCAACATCTGCGGACGAAGGAGAGGAGTAGTGTGGGAGATCAAAATAGTGAAGAACTAATTATGGAGATGTTTTTGCTAGTTCATGATCACCTCTGAGCTGAGTAAGTGTATGCTTTGGACATTTAAAAACTTATATAGCCTGAATATTAGCCTCAATATTCATCAAAATGTGTAAATATATTCATAGCAGAATCCCTATAACCATGGTGTTAATCCAAGCTCTCACATGCTGTAAACTGGGATAACTGATCATTCATTTATATTCACATACAGTAACACACTGAGAACAGCAAGACACTCTTCTGATGTAACTTCTTCTTCATTTTTTTCTAAATCATATCTGGTTGTAAGTAAACAACCTACATCCTCGTCCCTGTTCCCTCCTCTCCTGTCTGTCCCTCTTTCCTAATGACTGCTATGCATGACCGTGACCACAAGTAGCCCCTGGTAGTGTACAGCTCCACTTAAGACTGGAGCCATGTGCTCTGAATTTAGACCATTCGTTATCTCTCCTCCTGGTTCCTTTCCTCTCTCTGTCTCTCATAAGTGGTTGCACACATGCATCTCCCATCTCCCATCTCCCATCTCTCTCAGAGACTTCAGACAGTGAGTAGCCTGTATTGTTCAGGACAGAGGGGAAAGGCGAGAGAGAGGGAGGGAAAGGGGAGGTTGGGGAGATGGAGGGAGGTTCTTGGTTCTTTTAGGGAAGTATCCTCCTGCTTTTAATACCCTTCGTTAAGTTGCTGCAATTAGTGGTCGACTAATTACAAGTATGCCCTCTTTCAATACCATCAGGTGTGAATGGAAGTCACAGTCACCTCACTGTTTTATTAGTACGGACAGTGGAAAACAACAACAACACAACCTTGAACTGGATCTTTGATTTGTTGATAACAAAGGGGAGAGATCCTAGTGTTTTCCTGTTTTCCAAGGTCACCAGGCAGAGTAGAGCAGAGCAGAGCCCCACTTCAGTCAGATGTGTGTTTGTTTGTGTGTGTGTGTGTGTGTGTGTGTGTGTGTGTGTGTGTGTGTGTGTGTGTGTGTGTGTGTGTGTGTGTGTGTGTGTGTGTGTGTGTGTGTGTGTGTGTGTGTGTGTGTGTGTGTGTGTGTGTGTGTGTGTGTGTGTGTGTGTGTGTTGCTACATAGTTGCCTGATCAGGAGATAGAGTCCAGTGATGTTTCTATGAAGTGGAACTCTTTTGAACAGAAGCTGTTGTTAGTGGTGATGTTGGTAACATCGGAAGGTCAGCATATAAACTGCTTAGCATGATCAAACTACAAGTCACACTTACTCATATGTATTGTCAGTATGAGAAGTAATATCAGTAATAGTATTACACTGTATAAATAATATAAATCATTATGTATGAATAATTTAATGCAGGACTTGAACAACCGACTGTAAACATGCATTAAATAGATTTAATAGTCAACTAACTATATAATAATGGACCATTTAATGTACAGTGTTATACTCTCTACAAATCATGAAAAACACACTTTATACATACACATATTTACTTGATTTGAATAATGTAAAAAAATCTATAAAATATTTATAAGCCGTTTGAAAGCAGACTGTCACGGTTTCGGCCGAGGCTGCTCCTTCTCCTTGTTCGGGCAGGCTTCGGCGGTCGTCGTCTCCGGAGTACTAGCTGCCACCGTTCTATGTTTCTATGTTTGATTGGTTTTGTCTGTTTGTTACACCTGTTCATTGTTAAGTGTTCATTATGCGTCCTATTTAGTTCTCTTGTGTTTGGTCAGGTGTTGTGTGTAATTGTTCGATGTCACGTGTTGTAGTTGGTTCGCTGTTCTGTGCTCTCTGTATTTCGTTTTGTTTGAGAGAGTCCTGCACGTTGTGCGCATTTACTTTGGTTCTTACCAGTGTGCGTATGTTTCGCCTGTGGCCTGTTGCCGTGTTTGGCTTGTATTTTCGGACTTCACTAAAGACATCTGTTTCGAATCTCTGTGTGTCCTGCGTGTGATTCCACGTTACCTCTACACTCAACCCTGACACAGACCTTCCAATGAGGTGTTATTGTGGTTTTGTGGTACTCCTGTGAGGCTGGAGTGAGAGTTGATGTGATTTCTCCTGTCTGTCTGTCTGTCTGTCTGTCTGTCTCTGTCTGTCTGTCTGTCTGTCTGTCTGTCTGTCTGTCTGTCTGTCTGTCTGTCTGTCTGTCTGTCTGTCTGTCTGTCTGTCTGTCTGTCTGTCTGTCTGTCTGTCTGTCTGTCTGTCTGTCTGTCTGTCTGTCTGTCAGTCGGTCAGTAAGTTAGGATACCCAGGGGTTTCCTCTCTAGAGAACTCAGACAGTGTCACTCACTTTCAACTGAAAACCTTCCTGCCTCCCCCGTACGGTATAATGACCTGCTGTCAGATGGACTGTCACTATGACTACAGTACAGTAGGCTGTAGCAGAATACCAGGTCTGTTTAAAATCTGTTTTCTTGTATGAGGACATATTCAAAATTCTCCTATTTGTAAGTATTTTGAGGCTTAGAAACGTCGGTGAATGTCAGTGTCCATTTGGAGGGTTTGTTGTATTGTCAAACCTACATATTCTTACTTCTACTATTTGGGCAATTCTAAGAGCAGTGTCATGCGGTGTGACACAGACAAATCAGAGGAATAAAATGGTCCTCTCCACTGTCTCCTTAACTGAGGTATACATCCAACAATAGATAGATAGACAATTTTCTGAACTGGTAAAACAGAGAAGTAGTGGTTTCTGAGGTTAGGACGGCCGTATTGCCAGATTGACGGCTTCCCCTCCAGCGACACCAAACTCGGTCTTTTGTAGACTTTTAACACTGTGAATTTGTCAATCGAGTCAGTGGCCTGAACAAGGCTTCTCTTTGTGGGTCCTGGGCTTTAAAAGGGTGCCAAGCAAGCTGCATGGACCAATGGTTTAAAAAAGGCACAATGAGCTGTGAAAAACCTGGCTACCTGTGAGACAAAGCCGAGGGCAGGCGGGAAGAAATGTCCAAGAAAAGAGAAAAGGATATAAAAAGTGTCACCAGCTGACAATCCTTCCCCTCTATTCCCCGGCCAATTCTACTGAGTCCTTGGAGTGAGGGGCGGGCATCTCTGGTCATGAGAGAGAGTGACAGAGAGAAAGGAGGATGGAGAGGGAGCGGGGGAAAGGGAGGGAGGGGAGAGCCTTGAATTCTTGTCATCAGCTCCTTCACCATGAATAGACCTAATGAATGCTAGTAAGTGTTAGGGATCCATGGCCCGCTCTATCAAGGCAGGTAATACCGCCCCGATTTAATTGGGAGCAGGTATTGGAAGCCTGTATTACTTTAATTGGTTAGGGGTTCTCTCTAAGTGCTAAAGACAAAGTATAATGCCCAGATTGTGGAGCACAATAGCATTTAGAAGGGGATTGTATGCATTCGCTAATCTGCCGAGGAATGAGGCAATTCTGAACAATTTCCTCAGTGAAACCAGCTGCAGAATGCTTGTCCCTTTTGTTCCCCCTTGGGAAAATGTAAGATTGAAACAGAAAATACCTTTACCCGGGCAATCATGTGCCACGTGTAGAAAGCGGATACAGCAGCGAAGGATTAAAAAAAGAGGGGATCTTTGTAGTGGAAGAAAGGATGGAGGGAGAGAAAGCCGGGCTGAAAGTGGGGCCTGTCACGGTCGCCAACGGAGGAATAAAGTGATGACATTTACAGTGACAGACGAGACGAGAGAGAGAGAGAGAGAGAGAGAGAGAGAGAGAGAGAGAGAGAGAGAGAGAGAGAGAGAGAGAGAGAGAGAGAGAGAGAGAGGAGAGAGAGAGAGAGAGAGAGAGAGAGAGAGAGAGAGAGAGGAATTTGATATTTAAAAGACATGGGCTGTGATAATTAAAAGTGGACACGTCTTTAGTAGAGCTGGGGCCTGTCATTAATAATGACAGACGGAGAGCAGGTATCTGTTCAATCTTAATGACCCACAGAACAGTCAGGGAAGCTCACATAAAACAGGCCTGCTTGGGAAACAGTCATAGCCTATGGGGATGCATGTTTTGAAGGATTGAAAATGATCAAAGTGGACATCACCAAAGTGGTGATAAACAACATACTGTTGCAATTATCACACAACATATGAATCAATTAATTACTTAGCAAAGTCATATATTACTTTGTTACAAGTTATTCTGTCTAAGAAGTGGGATAAAACGAAAGAGAATGATCCAAGTTAAAATACAAAAAAACTAAACAACAGGATTGCCAGTGGGTCTTTTTATGTGGATGCTCTGTCAAGCGTTGCTTAACGTTTTGGTCACCACGCTGCGGCGAGCCTCAAATGGCCCCAACCACGGGACAGGAAGTGTTTACCAGCATGCCGTCACATTAACCCAGCATGCATTGGGGTGGCGTGTTCAGTGTTCTGTGGATCATCGCCAGGAGAAAATGGAAAAGAGACGAGCCAACAGCAGTGGAGGGCTTTCACTAGGGGCCGTGTACCACTCTCTCTCTCTCTCTCTCTCTCTCTCTCTCTCTCTCTCTCTCTCTCTCTCTCTGTCTCTCTCTCTCTCTCTCTCTCTGTGTGTTTCTCTTTCTCTGTCTCTTTATCTCTCTCTGTCTCTTTCCCTCTCTCTTTCTCTGTGTGGTGGGGAGACTAGAAGAGTGGAGGGGGTAGGGGGATGGAGGGGGACCTTAGCGGTACAGTAATTGCGCCCGTGAAGTGAGAATGATTGCTTTTTATTGTCCTTCGTCCCGACAGGTTGGAGCGGCGGAGGTATTGCATATCCTGTGAATGTGGAAGGGAGAGGGGAAGAGGAACAAAACTGTCGGGTCGGGCCCTCTCTCGCCGTCTCTCCCCTGACTGACTGACTCAGGAGTTAGACTGTCGGGCCGGGCCCTCTCTCTCCGTCTCTCCCCTGACTGACTGACTCAGGTGGGTTTCACATTCAGCGTGAATGCCAAGGGAGATGGAAGATAGCAGGCACTCTCTCTCTCCTCTCGCTGCCCTCTCTCTGTCTGGCCCTGTAGCGATCTCATAGAGAGTGCACTGCAGTTCACTATCAGGACTCTACAGCGCACTGTGGTACCTGCCATTGGACTTCACTGTGTTCAAGTTATGCTTTCTCTATACCAGTGGCAGTCAGTGCCGTTTAAGATGAGGGAGGACGATTTGTATTTATTTTTTATTACAGCATATTGGATGATTGTCATTCATATTCCATTCACCCAGCTCAATGTAACATTGATAGGTTTAGGCTACTACATGACACTCGATATTTGCCCTATACCCATCATGAGCTTGCTACAACCTAGTCTACAAATCATAGTTTATAACGTAGGTGCACAGGTCGAGAGACAAATTGGAGTAATCAGGGTGACAGACAGTTACACATTCAATACCGCCTTGCACACTCTTGCCTTCATCTAGCTGATCTGGGGTGTAATCATTAGTCCAAACATTAGTCTAAAACAAAAGTTTCGATTGGACAAATTCAGGTTGTTCCATTCCCTTTTAAGAAACTTTTTGCATCACCCGCACACACAGTTCACTTTCATAGAAGCCACATACAGCATCATCAGTTTGCTCGTTGTATAATTCCTTCTCACATCTACGTGCTCTCCTCTTCTCACCTGTTCCCTTTGCTTGTGGACTTCAGTGCACAACACAACAGCTGTCTGTGACCAGGAGGAAAAACCTCTCCAAGCCAAACCTTCATAACATAAACGTTCTTCTTTAACGTTGCAGCCCCTATCATCGCCGAGCATATCTCTGACCTTTTTAACCTGTCTCTCCTCTCTGGGAAGGTTCCCATTGCAACAAAGCTTTCTTAGTGACCAACAAGCTTTCTCTGCCCTTAACACGTCCAAAACAAAGGTCATGTGGTTCGGTAAGAAGAATGCCCCTCTCCCCACCGGTGTGATTACTACCCCTGAGGGTTTAGAGCTTGAGGTAGTCACATCATGCAAGTACTTGGGAGTATGGCTAAACGGTACACTGTCCTTCTCTCAGCACATATCCAAGCTGCAGGCTAAGGTTAAATCTAGACTTGGTTTCCTCTATCGTAATCGCTCCTCTTTCACCTCAGCTGCCAAACTAACCCTGATTCAGATGACCATCCTACCCATGCTAGATTCCGGAGACATCATTTATAGATTGAGCAGGTAAGGGTGCTCTCGAGCGGCTAGATGTTCTTTACCATTCGGCCATCAGATTTGCCACCAATGCTCCTTATAGGACACATCACTGCACTCTATACTCCCCTGTAAACTGGCCATCTCTGCATACCCGACGCGAGACCCACTGGTTGATGCTTATTTATTAACATTTACATTTAAGTCATTTAGCAGACGCTCTTATCCAGAGCGACTTACAAATTGGTGCATTCACCCTATAGCCAGTGGGTTAACCACTTTACAATAATTTTTTATTATTTTTATTTTTTATTATATATATATATTTTTTTTATTTATTTTTTGGGGGGGGGGTAGAAGGATTACTTTATCCTATCCCAGGTATTCCTTAAAGACGTGGGGTTTCAAATGTCTCCGGAAGGTGGTGAGTGACTCCGCTGTCCTGGCGTCGTGAGGGAGCTTGTTCCACCATTGGGGTGCCAGAGCAGCGAACAGTTTTGACTGGGCTGAGCGGGAACTATGCTTCCGCAGAGGAAGGGGAGCCAGCAGGCCAGAGGTGGATGAACGCAATGCCCTCGTTTGGGTGTAGGGACTGATCAGATCCTGAAGGTACGGAGGTGCCGTTCCCCTCACTGCTCCATAGGCAAGCACCATGGTCTTGTAACGGATGCGAGCTTCAACTGGAAGCCAGTGGAGTGTGCGGAGGAGGGGGGTGACGTGAGAGAACTTGGGAAGGTTGAACACCAGACGGGCTGCGGCATTCTGGATGAGTTGTAGGGGTTTAATGGCACAGGCAGGGAGCCCAGCCAACAGCGAGTTGCAGTAATCCAGACGGGAGATGACAAGTGCCTGGATTAGGACCTGTGCCGCTTCCTGTGTAAGGCAGGGTCGTACTCTCCGAATGTTGTAGAGCATGAACCTGCAGGATCGGGTCACCGCCTTGATGTTAGCGGAGAACGACAGGGTGTTGTCCAGGGTCACGCCAAGGCTCTTCGCACTCTGGGAGGAGGACACAACGGAGTTGTCAACCGTGATGGCGAGATCATGGAACGGGCAGTCCTTCCCCGGGAGGAAGAGCAGCTCCGTCTTGCCAGGGATCAGCTTGAGGTGGTGATCCGTCATCCATACTGATATGTCGGCCAGACATGCAGAGATGCGATTCGCCACCTGGTTATCAGAAGGGGGAAAGGAGAAGATTAGTTGTGTATCGTCAGCGTAGCAATGATAGGAGAGGCCATGTGAGGATATGACAGAGCCAAGTGACTTGGTGTATAGGGAGAAAAGGAGAGGGCCTAGAACTGAGCCCTGGGGGACACCAGTGGTGAGAGCACGTGGTGCGGAGACAGCTTCTCGCCACGCCACTTGGTAGGAGCGACCGGTCAGGTAGGACGCAATCCAGGAGTGAGCCGCGCCGGAGATGCCCAGCTCGGAGAGGGTGGAGAGGAGGATCTGATGGTTCACAGTATCAAAGGCAGCAGACAGGTCTAGAAGGACAAGAGCAGAGGAGAGAGAGTTAGCTTTAGCAGTGCGGAGAGCCTCCGTGACACAGAGAAGAGCAGTCTCAGTTGAATGACCAGTCCTGAAACCTGACTGGTTTGGATCAAGAAGGTCATTCTGAGAGAGATAGCAAGAGAGTTGGCTAAAGACGGCACGCTCAATAGTTTTGGAAAGAAAAGAAAGAAGGGATACTGGTCTGTAGTTGTTGACATCAGTGGGATCGAGTGTTGGTTTTTTGAGAAGGGGTGCAACTCTCGCTCTCTTGAAGACGGAAGGGACATGGCCAGCGGTCAAGGATGAGTTGATCAGCGAGGTGAGGTAGGGGAGAAGGTCACCGGAGATGGTCTGGAGAAGAGAGGAGGGGATGGGGTCAAGCGGGCAAGTTGTTGGGCGGCCTGCAGTCACTAGTCGCAATATTTTATCTGGAGAGAGAGGGGAGAAAGAAGTCAAAGCATAGGGTAGGGCGGTGTGAGCAGGACCAGCAGTGTCATTAGACTTAACAAACGAGGATCGGATGTCGTCAACCTTCTTTTCAAAGTGGTTGACGAAGTCATCCACAGAGAGGGAGGAGGGGGGGGGGGGGGGGGGGGGGGGGGGGGGGATTCAGCAGTGAGGAGAATGTGGCAAAGAGCTTCCTAGGGTTAGAGGCAGATGCTTGGAATTTAGAGTGGTAGAAAGTGGCCTTAGCAGCAGAAACAGATGAAGAAAATGTAGAGAGGAGGGAGTGAAAAGATGCCAGGTCGGCAGGGAGTTTAGTTTTCTTCCATTTCCGCTCCGCTGCCCGGAGCTCTGTTCTGTGAGCTCGCAATGAGTCATCAAGCCACGGAGCTGGAGGGGAGGACCGAGCCGGCCGGGAGGATAGGGGACACAGGGAGTCAAAGGATGCAGAAAGGGAGGAGAGGAGGGTTGAGGAGGCAGAATCAGGAGATTGGAGGGAGAAGGATTGAGCAGAGGGAAGAGATGATAGGATGGAAGAGGAGAGAGTAGTGGGAGAGAGAGAGCGAAGGTTGCGGCGGCGCGTTACCATCTGTGTAGGGGCAGAGTGAGTAGTGTTGGAGGAGAGCGAGAGAGAAAAGGATACAAAGTAGTGGTCGGAGACATGGAGGGGAGTTGCAGTGAGAATAGTAGAAGAGCAACATCTAGTAAAGATGAAGTCAAGCGTATTGCCTGCCTTGTGAGTAGGGGGGGACGGTGAGAGGGTGAGGTCAAAAGAGGAGAGGAGTGGAAAGAAGGAGGCAGAGAGAAATGAGTCAAATGTAGACGTAGGGAGGTTGAAATCCCCCAAAACTGTGAAGGGTGAGCCATCCTCAGGAAAGGAACTTATCAAGGCGTCAAGCTCATTGATGAACTCTCCAAGGGAACCTGGAGGGCGATAGATGACAAGGATATTAAGCTTAAATGGGCTAGTGACTGTGACAGCGTGGAATTCAAATGAGGAGATAGACAGATGGGTTAGGGGAAAAATTGAGAATGACCACTTGGGAGAGATGAGGATTCCTGTGCCACCACCCCTCTGACCAGATGCTCTCGGGGTATGTGAGAACACATGGTCAGACGAGGAGAGAGCAGTAGGAGTAGCAGTGTTTTCAGTGGTAATCCATGTTTCCGTCAGCGCCAGGAAGTCGAGGGACTGGAGGGTAGCATAGGCTGGGATGAAGTCAGCCTTGTTGGCGGCAGAACGGCAGTTCCAGAGGCTGCCTGAGACCTGGAACTCCAGGTGTGTGGTGCGTGCAGGGACCACCAGGTTA